CGGAGCACTGATTCCTTTTATTGGAGAATGGTATTTAGAAGCAAAGACGTGTACGCTGAATGTACTCATTACTACTGACTACTGATGCTCTAAGGCTCTCTCAGTGACAGAGCTAGGGAATGTGTGTATGTGTATTATGTATGTACGTAACCAATTTCCCATTACTACTATTTTCTTTCTCCATGTGTATACCCTTACCATACTAGTTGGGCTCCAAATTGGCCAAGTCTTGGGCAAGACTCTCAATAAATATAAAATAGGATATTTAACCAAAGTTAAGCAACTAATATGCTAACATTAAATGCTTCCATTGTTGCCTTCATTTTCCTTCCTTTACATTCTTTATTGTTTACATAACCTGATACCCCAAATTGGCAAAGAACAATTCAAGGTTATTCCCTTGACAACTACTCAGTGTAAGGCACCACAATTTACAGACTTCTTAAATTGTGAAGAAAACAAATCTTACCTTTTGGAAACCTAATTTAAGTTAATCAAGATTGCTTAGCATTTTCAGCAAAGAAAAATCTTGAACCTGACTTCCTAAGAATCCTTCACTTCAGTGCACACTAAAACTATCCCTAGAACTCCAGAGACATACCTTCTAGAGGTTATTTGGTACTGGAGCCTTAAGCCAAACATTCATGAAATGCTATATGTAATATAGAGCCTCTTACCCACTAGTAATCTACATTCTAAGCTTTAAGAAGCGGTACTACTATTTTTCATTTGACTCTTATTTCCATTGCTTTTATCCTTGTTTGCATATCTGAAAAAAATAGATCAGGTACATAAGCTTTGCTCCAAAGTTTGTTTCTCTTATAAAACTCTTCCTCAAACTCTAAAGCAACCTGTTGGTAATAAAGCTGTAAAAATAAAGATTTAACACCTACTGACACATTATCAGGGTGTCTGTACGGTGAGGTGGTTTTCTAATGGTGGTGGTGGATTGCAGATCTCTCACCTGATTTCCTTTGAAAAGAAATAGGTCTGCTGACAGAGAGCAAGATATCTAAACATAGCACAGAAAGTCTCTGAAACTTAAATATAGATCACAACATACCCAAGTACTCAAATAGTAATTATAAAGGAAAATATTCCACTATTATGATTTATAAAATAATTGCATAATTGTCCTACCATCTAAGTATCTAATTGTTATATCAATAGACAGTTGCTTACGTTGTAAAGACAACAGGTAGCAAAGTTCGAAGCTAGCTTATTTGATCCAAAACAATCCATTAACCAGTCAAAGATCAACTGTAACAGGCTTAAGTACTTAAAATACCACTTTCACAGTTGACCTTTGAAGAGCTGTTCCTTGCTCCTCAAATTTCCTATATTAAAGATCACAGTTCAACCCTACAAACCCAATTTTAAATTAGCCTCTGACTCACTGACTTCCAAGTCAGTCATCCTGTGTAGGCTCCTCCTCCCCCTCACCACCCCGCCCACCCCCATTCATGAATCTCTTTCATCAAATCTCTGAGAGAAGATTATTCAAGCCCTCTCACACAATCTGTTGAAAGGATCTGTGGACCAGGAGACACTAAGCTGGGTTCCAGTCCAGGGTCTACCATTAAGTATCTAAAATGTCTTGGGGTAAGTAAGCCATTTCACTTCTCCAGCCTGTATCTTTAAGCATAAGATGTGGGGAAAAACCAGATGCTGTCAAAGGTCTCTTCCTGTTCTAAACTTGCATAATTATGATTCCCAGTGAGGCTCACCATTTCGAGAAAGAATTCATTTAATTTTGTACACGGCTCTTCTTGTTGAAAGAACTTTCTAAATTTCCAAAGATACATTCTTCAACCCTGAAATTTCACTTCTTGAAATCTACCCTAGAAATGATGATCACATGTACACAGAAAGAAATCAATTAGCATTGTGTGTAAAAACAATTAATTAGAAACATCCATTCCTAGAGAAATAAATACAGTGTGACATAACACCATGGGATACTATGCAGCAATTAAAAAGAATGAAGGAAACCATGTACTCACTAATTGAAAAGATCTCCAAACCATACTGTAAACAAACAAAAAAACTGCAGAACATGTACGTTTTGATACCATTCATGAAAAAAACTATGAAGGTTTACATAGGACTTTCTACAATGATGGAAATGTTCTGGATCACAGTTCAGTACAGGAGCTTCCAGTTACCCATGACTACTGATGTGGCTATTGTGACTTGAGAAACAGAATTTTACATTTTATTTAATTTTAACAACTTTAAAGTTAAATAGTCACATGTGGCTAGTGGCTATCATACTTGACAGCACAGGTATACAAGAACAATCTAAACTGGTAACAGTACTTAGTTCTCTCTGAAAAGGAAACTACAAGGAAATGTAGAGTTAAACAAAGGCGAACTTTTGCTTTACCTGCATTGTTTGAATGTTTTAAAGCAGGTAATACTTATTATTTACATAAAATGAAACTTGAAAATAAAAGACCTTGCTAATACTAAGCCAAAAATCTACCTACGAAGCACCAAAGAAAAAATTGTTTTTCTCTTTTGCTTTTGCCATACCTGAAAAAAATTGGGGAAGTATGAGAGATTTCCTCAATAACACCCTTTAAATCATATTTCTTCACATATCATTTTCCCCCCTGTATCCCCTTTTTAACAACTACAGTAACTTCTGGTACAAAAGCTACAAAAATACAGTCATAAAGGCTATTAACTCATTAGCAAGGGAACAGGACATACAATACTTTCTAAGAATGTTTTCCAATGGAGGTGATGAATGTGTGCCTCTCTGTGCAACGATGCTTCCTCTACTGAGAGAGAAAGACAAAGAGGAAAAGAGAAAAGAAGACACAGCTCCCTAAGTGTTCTCTTCTCCAGGCCAAACACTCCCAGTTCTCCACAGAAACAGAGCCAGAACCCTCTCAACTGCAGCTCAGAACAAAAACTCGAGTCAGGATATAAACATTTCTTAGACACTTCTCTTAGTGGTAGGGCATATTCACCCAGGGTCTCAGTCCAGACCTCTAAACTTTTGGTCATTCATTTGTTTATAAATAAATAGTGAGTCCTAGTAAATGCCAGGCACTACACTTAGCAGAGGGGGTACAGCAATAAACAAGATCCATGTTGACAGAGCCTCTGCCCTTGAAGGCCTTATTACAGAAAATTCTACTGGAGTTGATAAACACTGAAAAACCTTGATTTCAATTCATTCCAGACAGTCCAACTCACTTGTTGCTGAATACAACTAGGACCATTAGACCCACACAATCTTTATTTAAGTTTCTAATACAGGGAAAAAGTTTACATAATGTATCCAAATTCTCCAACACAATGGGACAAGTCTAATGAGTAATTCCCAAATGTCCCTTAGACCAAGTTTTCAACAGTCCATGGCAAAAATGTGGGGAAAAAAACAACAATGTAGCACATCAAGTAGAGTAAGTTTGCCTATAAAGATTCTCTTCATTGTGAAGTTGTGCCCCCCCCTTTTGTACTGTATTACAATGTTCTCTACCTCATGAAATAGTGGTTTTTGGTAGAAAGCAGGAAGTACTTGGTTTGTTATTTGGTTTGTTTTTAAACAGTCTCACTTGCCAAATAACAAAACAGCAATCAAACCTCTGTACCAAATATTTGTTGATATTTTATTTGTCCATGTCACCCACAAGTTTAAAGGACTCAAGAAAGTTCCCTCTGCTCTCAAATGCACATCCTGAACACATAAAGGAGGCAATTATTCCTTCAATGCACATATTTCCATGAGTTAAATCATTTACATTTTGACAAGAGGAAAAGTTAAAGTTATCCACTCTTGCTGTATAATTTTCAAGGACATTAATATCACAATAAACAGGTTAAAAAAACACAGGATCAAATAAGCAAAAAGTCTAATCAAACAAAGTACTGGTGACAGTAACAACTGTAATTGATGACAGTTACTTTAGTAACAATAAAAGTAGCCAAATTTTATCTAAGTTATTTGTAGCTAGTCTTAAACATCACCCACACTGAAAAAGGTTTACATTTAAGTTCCAGAAGGGAGGGTGGGAGGGAGAAGAGAGAAAATGAGGGGAAAGATCACTTGTCAATAATAATAATACAAACTATCACATAATTAAGTGTATCACTAGTAATGACAAAACTGCAAATTTTACTAAGTACTTGAAAGTGAGACAAAGGTCCCACAGGACACCCACCTCTTCTCCACTCACCCATCCCCCAGTAAAAAGCATTTGTTCTAACCTTCCGGTTATATTTATACCTAAGGGTTAAAAAGCAGGAGGCTAATACAACGCAGCTTAAACCAAGGCATTTTCAAGTCAAGCAGCTCTGAGTTCGCTGGATGGGCCTCTTACTTTCCGTGTGACCTTAGGCAAGTCACTCAACCTCTTCAAGCCCCACTGGGCTGTAAGCTCCACAGAGCAAATGTCACTTCTGCCTGACCTGGTACTGTAGGCATATAGTATTGACATATCGGTTTCTTCTGGTATAAAGTAAGGATGTGAAGAACATTTATCTCACAGCTGTACCTGGAGGGTTAAATCAGATACCACTTACACAAACCTCTGGCGCAGTGCCTGATCATAGTAAATGCTCAAAAATATCAACTTATTGACACCAACTGACAGCTACCAAACCTGAACGTAGTTTGAAGACTTTCAAATACTAACATAAAAAGTCTTTTTACCCAGTAAATGCTAGATGCTCAATTAATAAAAATATTCCACAAAAGGGGTACGAACAGTTAGTTTCTAAACCACTGGGCTGGGAATGCAATCATACAAGAACCCTGAATTGCGTGCACCAAACCCAAGCTCTTAAAAGCCATTCAGTCGCCTCCAAGTCGTTCTACTCGCAGAGAGGCCCGGAGCATCCTCCCATTGGTCTCCCACCCTCCCCGCGGACGGCTCGGGCTGTCAGGCAGCCCCCTCCTCCGCGCTCAGGGGGAGGAGAGAGGAAACCGGGAGGAGGGGGCCGGGTGGGGGGAAAGCGCGCGTCCCCGCGCCGTCGCCCAGACCCACCTTGAGCAGGATGGATGGCGGCAGCTGGTTGATGTCTGGGGCTTCGGGGGGCGGCTCCCTAGGGCAGTCGCAGGGGTTTCCACGGGGGTCCTGACAGTCCGCGTCGCCGCCTTCGTGCTGCTGCTGGGCAGGCGAGGGGGCGGCGCTCCCCGCTCGGACAGCGTCCCCGCCGCCTTCGGCCGGGGCACCATCGGGAGTGGGAGACGCGGGCGGGGGGCAGAGAGGTGGCGGCGGCGGCTGCTCCGAGCCCTGGCAGCCTCCGGCGTCGGGGGGGCGCGGAGGCGAGGCGCCCCCTCCCGCCGGCCCGCCGCCGCCGCCGCCGCCCCCGCCGCCACAGCGGGGCTGCTTACAAGGGGTGCAGGCGGGCACCCCGGCCCCCTTCCGCTTGCACACCATCTCAGGGGGCGTGGGGGGATCGGCCGGCGGCGGCGGCGGCGGCCCCCGGAAGAGCTGCACCGCGACGGGCGGCCCCAGGAAGCGCACGGGCCCCACGCTGGCCAAGAAGAGGCTCCGGCCCTGCTGCTCCCAGGCGGCGGCCGCAGCCAGCCCCAGCTCTCTGCAGCAGGCGGCGGGCGACGAGGCCGAGGCGGCGGCGGCCGCGGCGGCGGCGGCCGAGGAGAGTAGGAAGCGGCGGGCAGCGGCGGCGCAGTCCTCGGCGGCCAGGGCCGCGCAGCGCCGCGCCAGGTGCTGAGGGGAGGCGGCCGCGGCGTAGGCCCCGTCCCGTGGCGGCGGCGAGAGCGGCGGCTCCTCCTCTGGGCCGGCGGGGGCGGGAGCGCCGGGGCTGTGCACGATGAAGCAGAGCATGCAGGGCCCGCGGAAGAAGCAGTCCCGGCTCCGGGGCGCCGCCGGCTGTGGGGGCGCCTTGGCCGGGGTCCGGCGGGGCAGCCTGAGGAGAGGGCGGCGGCGGCGGCACCAGCTGCAACAGCGAGGCCTCTTCTGGCTCGGGCGGTTACGCGGCTCCTTCGAGAGAAGGTGGCCCATATAGAAGGCCCCGAGGAGGGGGACCGGGACGGGGAAGGAGGGAGGCCCGGAGAGGCGGGTTCCCGGCAGCCGGGCAGGCCGCTCGCCGACTGGGCCTCGGGCCCGCGGCAGGGTCGCCCTCCCTGCGCACACACGCGCACACACGGGCACACATGCGACGGTGGGGGGTGGGCGTCAGCTGCGGGCCGCCTCGGCGCCCGTCGGGGGCTACATGCTTTGCCCAGGGAAGCCGGGAGAACGATGGGCGCGAGCTTTGAGTACGCGACGGAGAGAGCGAGCCCCCCGGCTGGGCGACCAGTCCGAGCCTGACCCGCCGGCTCAGGCAGTCACTGCGTCGGCAGGGGGAACGCAGGGTCCCGCTCGGACCATTTTAACTGCGGCTCCGCTGGCGGCGCGCGCCCGCACACAGCTCGGAGCCGGAGGAGCGCGCGGCCAGCTCCGGCAGGGGGCGGAGCTAGCTGCGGCGGCGCGCTCGGGGCGGGGCTGCGGGCGCCAGCTGCTGGTGTGCACTGCCGATAGTCTGGGGCTACTGAGTCGCTGGCTGGCCGGGGCGTGGGTCTCCCAAACCCCTGTCCCCCAGGTTTCGCGGAGTCGCCGGGCCGGCTCCTTTTTTCTGGGGCGAGAGGAGACCCTTCGGAGCCAGTTGTGTGACATCGGTTTGCAAAGCCGCACTGGCGTCTTTAGGTGTAAGTTCAAGAACTACCTTTGGCCCGGAGCCGCTCAGCTCTTCCGCTCACCTCCCCCCCCCCCCCCCCCCCCCGACTTTAGGAGTGTGGCCACTAAGGAGCTGCTGAAGGCCGACCTGTGTCCTGGACTGCCTCTTCGGTGGAGTGGCAAATGTGTGCCCCTTGGGTGCTGAGGACCAGTCTTCTCACCGGAGGGGTTAATTGGTAGTGCAACAGTGTTGTGTTTCTTCTCCTGTTTTCATACTTCTGTTACTTGCGGCAGACTACTAATTACATAACTTTACTTCAAGATGAAAGCGTGTATCAAATTACCTATACATACCAGAAAGATAGTTTGTCAACCCAGTGAGTCATCCAACATCCCAGGAGATAAGCTAGACATCTGAACCTTCCAAGTCCCATCTACCTATCACATACTTTAAAACGATTGTGAAGTGCCTACTATATTATAAAGTGGTTCTAGGTAGACCTTGGTGACTGAGAGGAGAAAGAAAGGAGGCTTTGCAGACAACCCTTAGAAGGTTTGATGATAATTATACCAGAAAGACAGAACAGTACTTGGTGTTGAGAGATTAGCTTTCACAAGGGAGAAGAAATTGAAAGAGGCCTGGTGATGTGAATAAGCTAGTTTAGAGGAGGCGATAAGAGATAATAACACAAGGCACTTGAGAAGATTGAGCGGCAAGTACCTCAGGCGGGATACCGTCTTCACTGTGATTGAAAGGAATAAGGACAGGAGGGGTAAAAGAATGGATGCAATTAGGTGGTGGTTTCTGGAAAGGGAAGGAAAGAGTTCCTTCAAATGGTCTTTCTTTTTTCTATTAAGTGGAGCCTGGTTATCCGATGAAGGGTGGAAAGACAATGGCAGGAGTTTTTAAAAGGTACTGAAGATAACTTGGGAGAACTAGTTGAGGAAGCAAGATTCAAGGCCCATCCCTTTAGATACCATTGTTTGAGCCTGTGTGATCTTAACCACCATAGTGGCCAGCCTCACCTACCCTTCACCCAAACTGTACTCTTTTGCTGATAATTGCCTCTTTGTTAAGACTGACTTTTATTTTGGGCCTACCAATATTCAGGGAGCTCCCTTTCTGAGCTTGATCATGGTGAGATGGAAGTCCAAGAAACCTAGAAGCAAAGATTTATGAAAGGGTTTTAGGTACCTGTTACTATCAAATGCATTGCCCAAACTACATTTACCTATGTGTATTGTCCACACAGTTTTCATCCCTCTGGCTGTACAGGGATAGTCTAGGCCCCCAAAGCTTGATTCTTGAGAACAGGAGGTTAGGAGTGACCAGAATTGCCTGAGGCCTTATAAAAGATCCTTTGCCATCTCTACCAGACTGCACTTTGAACAAAAGGAGAGGGATTCTAAGCTTTTTATTCACTTTCACTATGTCAAAATTTCGGACCCGTTAGTTTCATGTAAGTTAAACAAACAATTACTTAGTGCTCTCACAAGTGTTGATCCCAGAAAAATAAAAATATATATTCATGAAAAGACTTACACAACAATTTTTATAGCAGCTTTATGCATGAGCAGCCCAGATGTCCATCAGTAGAGAAAGCATGAACAGGTATATTTATTCAATAGATTATTGCTCAGTAATTTAAAAAATAATAATAATAAGAGTGAATCTCAAAAACTTAGGCTGAATCAGACTCTCTGCAATTGGGGGCCCTAGAATCTCTATGTAATGTTAACAATCTCCCCATGTGATTACTGCACAGACACCCTGACACCATGTAAACCTCTCAAGAACTACACATATAATCTAAATTCTTGTTTCAGAGATGAGGCAAGTGACTTGGAGACTTTTGAAGTGGTTTCTGAAATTCACACCACTAATTCTTAACTTACAATTCCAGAGCTTTTCATCCACATGCAGGTGCTGTTTTTCTCTTTACCACAATATGTAGCAGAGGGTCTTGAATATTACATAATGATGTAGTCAACTACTACTATTGTCACCACAGCTATAATGAGTATTAGAATTCATTACCCTAAATAATAATACTGAAGACACTCTAAATATTCAGGAAACAATTACAAGTAAGAGTTATACATGGCTATTTGGAGTAGCATTTGATGGCTTTGTTACAAAAAGAAAAGCAGCCTGAAGTGGGAGCTGGCCTGGAACTATTAAGTAGGCTCTGGTGTCACCGCCCTTCTCAGATAGGTCTGAGTGTTATATTGAACATAATTTCACAAAACATCAACATCAGACATGATCACCCTGTGATCATGACAGACAAGACAAAAATAAGACCCTTTATAATCATGTCTAACCACAACAAATACAAGAGCATTCTGCAAACCACCAAAATGATCAAACATTCTTGCAAATATAAAGTGACTTTGATTTCTTGACAAATTATAACCTTATCTTTGCTTCATTCTCCTTTCCTTGTAGATAATTATTTTTTGGAGATTCATATTTTATTTCTCCAGTGACATATTTACACTTGAATATAAATTAAAGGCCTGCTTCTACACCAAAGCCAGGTCCTTAGGGTGGTTCAGTCGAAGAGGTGAGACCCCCAGGTGGCTCATAAGAAAAGCATCCTCTCCTTGGCCCAGGTTTGGGAGTTTTGCCAGCCTTGAGCTCATCAATAATTTCAATATGCTTAGGTGTCAGATCTTCATAGTAGTTGACATTTATTTGCACCAACGATTGGTGTATTTACACAGACCCCTAAACATTCCACCTCTGTAACAGTGAAAAGTTTGTCAGGTGTAGTCTCCCCAACCTTTATTCCAAGCTTTTTCTGAATGGCCTCCAGTATGCTGACAGAGTTTCAAAGCATGCAGAGGGTTAGTAGTACAGACCTGAGGGTGATACTTTCCAACTGGCTTTTGATTATACATTGTATAAAAAGTTGCTGCTTCATAGACTGTCATTGGAGGTACTTGTAAACTTCCTGCAGCCTTGTTCATAGCAGAGAAGGGCAGCCATTCATTCTTGGGGCTGACTCCAGGACTGGGAAGCACAGCTGCTGCTTCATGCCCTTCTGGGTAGTTTTTAATAATTGCTTCTACTTTCTTAATAGTTTTCTGGTGTGAAATCAAATGGGGTATCTGGGTGTTTCTCAGGAGTATCTCGTGCACAAATAAGACTCCTCCAGCTCCATTTTGCGCAGCTGTCTTATGCAAATTACTCGTGTGTCTTCCCCACTGGGTGGTGAGGCCAGCTACCCTGGCCTGGGGTGCTGTGGAGAAGAACACGGTGGGCAGAACTGTTGGTGTTGCCCAGCGATGCCGGACGAGGATCCCCCCTAGATAACAATTGTTAGAATATCCAGTCATACCTCTACTTCCTGACAGCATCCATTTCAGAGCAAAGCCTTGACCTTCCCCAAATCACCTGCCACAAGTCCAATCCTATAATGCCACTTTTAATCATTTTTTTATCTTTTAATTACACTCGACATACATTATTATGTTAGTATTTTTATAACACCTTCTTACTGAGACCCTCCACAGTTCCTTACGGTGTGTTATCTGCTTCCTTGTGACAAGTCAATAAACCCAACTTGGTTTGACTGTGAATGTGTTCCTGCTGCTCTTTGGCTGGAAGGCATTCACATTTTTAATAGTCAAATGTCACCCCCTTATCAAACTACTACCCACTTATGCTGTACACTTTAAACTTATGCAGTGCTGTATACCAATTATATGTCAATAAACTAAAGTAAAATGACTTCTTTCCTTCTGCTTACCCTTTTTTTATTATTTTTATGCTTCATTATCACACTTATTTTTGTCTTTATTTTTTTAACTTTCCGTCTCAGTAGAATGTAAGCTTCATGAAGACACAGACTTTGTTCAGTTTTTAGGAACATAATCTACAGCTGTATGGAAGATGGACTAGAGTAGGAAGAGACTTGGAGCAGGAAGACTAGTAAGATTGTTCAGAGGGTTGATGGAGAGGCCTGAAAAGCATGAATTAAGGCAACCGTGGTGGGGATGATGAAGTAAGGGTAGAACTGAAAAACATTTCTTACATGGAGTTTTCAGGATTTAATGACACTTACAAATTAGGTAGAGAGAAGGGGATGATGGATCGGGAGGAAATGAAGAAACCCACATTAATGATTTATTTTCATATTTGAATACAATTCAAACCTGAGGTAGACCTTTGTTACGACATAGATTCACACCGAAAGCCAGTATATAAATTTAAAATGTTGAGAACAGTTTAACATGACAGCCTTTTCTTCTTTGCTGACATAGAATATATTTACTTTGAAATTCACTTTTGCCTATAAATGAGACCCATGTATAAAAGGCTTTAATGCTTGCAAATGGGT